ATTGCGTGAGTTCAAACACAAATTCTCTGCAAAAGAGATCATGGCTCCCAGAAGCTTCCATTCAGGGGGGGGAATGTTTGCTTCGTTTGCATGCCTATGGGACAAAGCGTGAAATTGTGAGCCTGTCCATTTCCGCACATGATAATATTTTATATAGTGTCTCTTCCTCTGTGGGAATTTCTTTACTGAGCCTAAGCTTTTCAATGTTGGAGATCGAGTTTACTTTTCCACGCACTATTTACAATCACTGCAACCTTCCAAGAAATTGGGACCTACGTTTGTGGGGCCTTTCTCCATCAAACGTATTGTTAACACCAGTCACAGTAGAATTAGATTTGCCAAAGTTCCTTTGCCGGGTCCATCCAGTTTTTAACTGCAGTTTATTGAAACCTGAAATTTCCTCACCCCTTAGATCAGCCCTTCCCCCTGTCCTTGAACCTTTAATGATAGTACAACATTTTGAGGTCAGAGAAATTTTGAACTCTTGCACACATAGGGGAAATCTTCAGTATTTAGTAGCATGGAAAGATTTCCCTACTGCCCAGAATGAGTAGGTGGATCGTTGGCATATTAGAGCCCCTAGACTAGTGAAACGTTTTCATCAATATCCTGACAAACCTAAATGATTTCTCTCATATCTTTTTTTCTCCCCTTTTATTGTGTTTTGTTCTGCAGGTTTAATCCCTTTCTTTTGGGGTGGCAGTATGTCAGGTCCCTTTTTGGGTGCCCTGCCATTCTGTTGGAGGGGGAGGAAGAGGTTCTAGGGGGAGCATTCTTTGCATGCTTTCGCTTTTGCTGTAAGCGCATGGGAATTAGGGAAGGGGATTGTCTTCAGAGACAAGATGGACTCCCTCTCAGCTGGGTCCAGCCTGACGCCAAGGTCGCTGCGCCCTGAGGATGACTCTAAGATCGCTGCGCCTTGAGGATCCAGCTTGTACCTCAGTGTTCTCAAATCAACCTTGCGGCAATACATTGGCTGCTGGTGGACTGGTCAGGGGAGAGGTTGGGTTTCGGAATGGGAAGAACAGTTTTGTGCTTTGCATGGGACCATTAGATTCCGCCTGTCTTTACTGCAACCACTTTCAGTAAAAGTTCTTTTGATTAACCCTATGGAGTCAAGATCATGCTTTCCTGAGAAGATCAGCTGGGGCAGGTCCTTACAGAATCCTTGTTGTGTGGTGCCTAGACACTGAAATACACAGGAGGATATAATAAAGTGAAATGATTATTTTTCATAACTTGAAGACTTTCAGTTGATGAAGCCTACAACTACATTTGCTTTGCTTGTCTGCATTCATGTCACCGTTGATTTATCATCAGCTTGTGATAAACTGCAGTTAATAATAATATACTTAATATGCAATTAATTAAATACTATTAAAATTATAATTACACATTATTAAAAGTAGTTGATCATGAGAAGATCAGTGGCACAATGAAAGATACAGTTACTGATCAATAGTAATAGACTGAGAGAGGTTAATATCAAGTGAGGAGTTTTTCAAAGAGACTATCACCACTACTGTCTACATTGCATTGTCAACAATAGTGAACAAGTGACTTCCGGTGGTGACAGCTGGCATCGCATGGCGGCTTTTTTAGCCGCCCGTCCGGGAGCGCGTCAAAGCCTGAAGAGACAGCGTTTGCCAGCTGTCTCTCGGCTAGGAACCTCGTCCCTCGGGCAAAGAGGGAGAGGTGAGTGAGTCCGGATAGGGTTAGAGCTTCCTTTCGCCCCGGTTTTGTCTTAATCCGGGGTG